GTGTGCGTGTGTGTGTATGAGTTTGTGTGTGTGTGTGTGTGTGTGTGTGTGTGTGTGTGTGTGTGGTGTGTGTGTGTGTGTGTGTGTGTGTGTGTGTGTGTGTGTGTGTGTTTTATGTGTGTGTGTGTATGAATTTGTATGTGTGTGTGTGTGATGAGAGAGAGAGACTCAGCAATCAACATTTGCACCAATAACTCACTACAGTTGTGACCGGGTGTGGAAGTGTGAATTGCTCATAACTCTAAAATTTGTTCATGATTGCAGCCATGTATAAACGTAAGTAACCATTCTTACAGTATTCATTACCTTCGTAACTTGTGAGTTCATTACCTTTGTAACTTGTGGTTCATTACTTGTACCTAGTTCAGCATCAAAACTTTGGAGCCCGGTCCCTGGACCCATTGTGTACCTCTGTAATCTGTAAATACCTTTGTAACTTGTCATGATTGTGACTAGACCTACCTGGGGTTCATTACCTTTGTAAATTGTGAGTTCATTACCTTTGTAAATTGTGAATTCATTACCTCTGTAACTTGCTCAGCTATCAAAACTTTGGAGTCCAGTCCCTGGACCAATTATGTACCTCTGTAATCTTTTGACTACCGCCCACAGGATGGGTATGGGGTGCATAATAAACATATTAAACAACATGAGGTAAAACATAGCTAGAAGTGTAATAGCCCGCCCTCCCTGTCCTAGGACACAAAGCTGAATTGGGAAAATTCTTGCTTGCTTGAGCAATTGAGAGCAATAACAGTCACTAGTGGACGTTTTGCAGCAAGGCATTTCTTTGGGAAGGATTCTTGACTCTGGTGAGAGGCTCTTGATCCAAGGAATTGGACTTGTCCTCCCCTTCATTGGATCGAACCTAATTGCTTCCCTTTCCCCAGGCGCCGTATGACACTTACGGGTTTAATTATAAAATATTACATAAGAAAAAATGTAGGCACAATGCACATAGCCTATTTCAAAGTTTTATAATACCACTATCAGTGTTAATAACCCCCTACTGGTAATTATCATCACTATTTGCACTTGCAACCACCAGAAGTGGTGGTAGCAACCACCAGTAGTGGTGGTAGCAACCACCAGTAGTGGTGGTAGCAACCACCAGTAGTGGTGGTAGCAACCACCAGTAGTGGTGGTAGCAACCACCAGTAGTGGTGGTAGCAACCACCAGAAGTGGTGGTAGCAACCACCAGAAATGGTGGTAGCAACCACCAGTAGTGGTGGTAGCAACCACCAGTAGTGGTGGTAGCAACCATCAGTAGTGGTGGTAGCAACCACCAGTAGTGGTGGTAGCAACCACCAGTAGTGGTGGTAGCAACCACCAGTAGTGGTGATAGCAACCACCAGTAGTGGTGGTAGCAACCACCAGTAGTGGTGGTAGCAACCATCAGTAGTGGGTAGCAACCACCAGTATTGGTGGTAGCAACCATCAGTATTGGTGGTAGCAACCATCAGTAGTGGTGGTAGCAACCATCAATAGTGGTGGTAGCAACCACCAGTATTGGTGGTAGCAACCATCAGTAGTGGTGGTAGCAACCACCAGTAGTGGTGGTAGCAACCATCAGTAGTGGTGGTAGCAACCACCAGTAGTGGTGGTAGCAACCACCAGTAGTGGTGGTAGCAACCACCAGTAGTGGTGATAGCAACCACCAGTAGTGGTGGTAGCAACCACCAGTAGTGGTGGTAGCAACCATCAGTAGTGGTGGTAGCAACCACCAGTATTGGTGGTAGCAACCATCAGTATTGGTGGTAGCAACCATCAGTAGTGGTGGTAGCAACCATCAATAGTGGTGGTAGCAACCACCAGTATTGGTGGTAGCAACCATCAGTAGTGGTGGTAGCAACCATCAGTAGTGGTGGTAGTAACCATCAGTGGTGGTGGTAGCAACCATCAGTAGTGGTGGTAGTAACCACCAGTAGTGGTGGTAGCAACCATCAGTAGTGGTGGTAGCAACCATCAGTAGTGGTGGTAGCAACCACCAGTAGTGGTGGTACCAACCATCAGTAGTGGTGGTAGCAACCACCAGTAGTGGTGGTAGCAACCATCAGTAGTGGTGGTTTGCAACCACCAGTAGTGGTGGTAGCAACCACCAGTTAGTAGTGGTAGCAACCATCAGTAGTGGTGGTAGCAACCACCAGTAGTGGTGGTAGCAACCATCAGTAGTGGTGGTAGCAACCACCAGTAGTGGTGGTAGCAACCACCAGTAGTGGTGGTAGCAACCATCAGTAGTGGTGGTAGCAACCACCAGTAGTGGTGGTAGCAACCATCAGTAGTGGTGGTAGAAACCATCAGTAGTGGTGGTAGCAACCATCAGTCGTGGTGGTAGCAACCACCAGTAGTGGTGGTAGCAACCATCAGTAGTGGTGGTAGCAACCACCAGTAGTGGTGGTAGCAACCACCAGTAGTGGTGGTAGCAACCATCAGTAGTGGTGGTAGCAACCACCAGTAGTGGTGGTAGCAACCATCAGTAGTGGTGGTGGCAACCACCAGTAGTGGTGGTAGCAACCATCAGTAGTAGTGGTAGCAACCACCAGTAGTGGTGGTAACAACCACCAGTAGTGGTGGTAGCAACCATCAGTAGTGGTGGTAGCAACCACCAGTAGTGGTGGTAGCAACCATCAGTAGTGGTGGTAGCAACCATCAGTAGTGGTGGTAGCAACCATCAGTAGTGGGTGGTAGCAACCATCAGTTGGTGGTAGCAACCATCAGTATGGTGGTAGCAACCATCAGTAGTGGTGGTTAGCAACCACCAGTAGTGGTGGTAGCAACCATCAGTAGTGGTGGTAGCAACCACCAGTAGTGGTGGTAGCAACCATCAGTAGTGGTGGTAGGAACCACCAGTAGTGGTGGTAGCAACCACCAGTAGTGGTGGTAGGAACCACCAGTAGTGGTGGTGATACCATCAGTAGTGGTGGTAGCAACCACCAGTATGGTGGTAGCCAACCATCAGTATGGTGGTAGCAACCATCAGTAGTGGTGGTAGCAACCACCAGTAGTGGTGGTAGCAACCATCAGTAGTGGTGGTAGCAACCACCATATTGGTGGTACCCAACCATCAGTAGTGGTGGTAGCAACCACCATAGTGGTGGTAGCAACATCAGTAGTGGTGGTAGCAACCACCAGTAGTGGTGGTAGCAACCATCAGTATGGTGGTAGGAACCACCAGTAGTGGTGGTAGCAACCACCAGTAGTGGTGGTAGGAACCAAGTAGTGGTGGTAGCAACCACCAGTAGTGGTGGTAGCAACCACCAGTAGTGGTGGTAGCAACCATCAGTAGTGGTGGTAGCAACCACCAGTAGTGGTGGTAGCAACCATCAGTAGTGGTGGTAGGAACCCCCAGTAGTGGTGGTAGCAACCACCAGTAGTGGTGGTAGGAAACCACCAGTAGTGGTGGTAGCAACCATCAGTAGTGGTGGTAGCAACCACCAGTAGTGGTGGTAGCAACCACCAGTAGTGGTGGTAGCAGGTATAAGTAGTAAGGAATGAAGGTGGGGGGAGGGGGGTTCTGGGTCAGCTTGCTTTGAGGAACTTCTGTAGTAACATTCAGTGTGTCTCGGATAGTGGTGGAAGGCACTAGTGCCACATTTAAAGGTAGCACGTATACACATTACACACACATACACATTATATATATATATATATATATATAATATATATATATATATATATATATATTATATATATTATATATATATATATTATATATATATATATAATATATATTATAATATATATATATATAATAGCAGCAACAGCCTGGTTGATCAGGCTCTGATCCACCAGGAGGCCTGGTCACAGACCGGGCCGCGGGGGCGTTGACCCCCGGAACTCTCTCCAGGTAAACTCCAGGTAATATACATTTACACTAACCAAATTATTAAATACCGACACTAAAAAAAATATGCTCAAAAATCAATACAACAATTTCTAGGCATAAAATATTCGTGCAATGACCGGTCATTAACTCACAAGAATTTCCATTAGATACAATAGATTCATTTCAAGATAATCTATGCCCAGAACAGTCATTAGTATTCATATTCCTATGCTAATTAATTCTGATGTCTAATTGTCAATGATACTCTCGACTGTGTATATATTTTTTTTAAGATTTCTCTTTAAATTATAATGTAAACACTAAGCTTGTACACTGGAACGCTGACTTCGTACTGTTGACGTATTTGAGAAAAGTATGGAAATAAATACAGGCTGAAGAACAAGCTTTCATTAGAAATGACGCTTCTCTATGCATCGAGCTTCATCACGACTTGATAAAGCTTTACAGAGTGAAAAAAAAAATGTACGTGACAAAGCTGTTCTCCGAGCTTCTGCAGCGCGTGGAACGCCTTGTCAATGTGAATATTTCATGTGCTGGGTAAAGGGCGAGATATATTCATTGTACCCTAATACCATCGTCAGTCATCGTACCTTAATTACTTTGCTAGTCAGTACATCTTAGTTCCCTTGTCAGTTATTGTACCCTAGATCCCTTGCCAGTTATTGTACCCTAGTTCCCTTGCCAGTTATTGTACCCTAGTTCCCTTGCCAGTTATTGTACCCTAGTTCCCTTGCCAGTTATTGTATTCTAGTTCCTTTGTCAGTTATTGTACCCTAGATCCCTTGCCAGTTATTGTACCCTAGATCCCTTGCCAGTTATTGTACCCTAGTTCCCTTGCCACTTATTGTACCCTAGTTCCCTTGCCAGTTATTGTACCCTAGTTCCCTTGCCAGTTATTGTACCCTAGATCCCTTGCTAGTTATTGTACCCTAGGTCCCTTGCCAGTTATTGTACCCTAGTTTCCTCGCCAGTTATTGTACCTTAATTCCCTTGCCAGTTATTGTACCCTAGTTCCCTTGCCAAAACAAAAGCATTCACATTGCTAAACTCACAAATTATGATGTAGTCACTTAGCCTTAATACCATAATCTGTAAGGATTTAATGTTAAAAATTACTCTAAGTCTGCCCGAAATGCCTAGCCATGCTAGGTGTCCTAGTGGCCCCCTCTGTAATTAGTATTTTATAACATGTAAACCACACAATACCCAAAACCTGCAAACCCCACATTGTAACCCTTATAGAGAATAAACTTGAATTGAATTTAATTGAATTGAATTGTACCCTAGTTCCCTTGCAAGTTATTGTATCCTAGTTCCCTTGCCAGTTATTGTACCCTAGATCCCTTGCCAGTTATTGTACCCTAGTTCCCTTGCGAGTTATTGTACCATAGTTCCCTTGCCAGTTATTGTACCCTAGTTCCCTTGGCAGTTATTGTACCCTAGTTCCCTTGCCAGTCATTGTACCCTAGATCCCTTGGTAGTTATTGTACCCTAGATCCCTTGGCAGTTATTGCACCCTAGATCCCTTGCCAATTATTGTACCCTAGACCCCTTGCCAGTTATTGTACCCTAGTTCCCTTGCCAGTTATTGTACCCTAGTTCCCTTGCCAGTTATTGTGCCATAGATCCCTTGCCAGTTATTGTGCCCTAGATCCCTTGCCAGTTATTGTACCCTAGTTCCCTTGCCAGTTATTGTACCCTAGTTCCCTTGCCAGTTATTGTACCCTAGATCCCTTGCCAGTTATTGTACCCTAGATCCCTTGCCAATTATTGTACCCTAGATCCCTTGTCAGTTATTGTACCCTAGTTCCCTTGCCCGTTATTGTACCCCAGATCCCTTGGCAGTTATTGTACCCTAGTTCCCTTGGCAGTTATTGTACCCTAGTTCCCTTGGCAGTTATTGTACCCTAGATCCCTTGCCAGTTATTGTACCCTAGATCCCTTGCCAATTATTGTACCCTAGATCCCTTGCCAGTTATTGTACCCTAGATCCCTTGCCAGTTATTGTACCCTAGATCCCTTGCCAGTTAGTGTACCCTAATTCCCTTGGCATTTATTGTACCCTAGATCCCTTGCCAATTATTGTACCCTAGATCCCTTGCCAGTTATTGTACCCTAGATTCCTTGCCAGTTAGTGTACCCTAATTCCCTTGGCAGTTATTGTACCCTAGATCCCTTGCCAATTATTGTACCCTAGATCCCTTGCCAGTTATTGTACCCTAGATTCCTTGCCAGTTAGTGTACCCTAATTCCCTTGGCAGTTATTGTACCCTAGATCTCTTGCTAGTTATTGTACCCTAGCTCCCTTGCCAGTTATTGTACCCTAGTTCCCTTGCCAGTTATTGTACCCTAGATCCCTTGCCAGTTATTGTACCCTAGTTTCCTTGCCAGTTATTGTACCCTAATTCCCTGGCCAGTTATTGTACCCTAGTTCCCTTGCCAGTTACTATACCCTAGTTCCCTTGCCAGTTATTGTACCTTAGTTCCTTTGTCAGTTATTGTACCCTAGATCCCTTGCCAGTTATTGTACCATAGATCCCTTGGCAGTTATTGTACCCTAGATCCCTTACCAATTATTGTACCTTAGATCCCTTAACAGTTATTGTACCCTAGTTCCCTTGCGAGTTATTGTACCCTAGTTCCCTTGCCAGTTATTATACCCTAGATCCCTTGTCAGTTATTCTACCCTAGATCCCTTGCTAATTATTGTACCCTAGATCCCTTGCCAGTTATTGTACCCTAGTTCCCTTGGCAGTTATTGCACCCTAGATCCCTTGCCAGTTATTGTACCCTAGTTCCCTTGGCAGTTATTGTACCCTAGTTCCCTTGCCAGTTATTGTACCCTAGATCCCTTGCCAATTATTGTACCCTAGACCCCTTGCCAGTTATTGTACCCTAGTTCCCTTGCCAGTTATTGTACCCTAGTTCCCTTGCCAATTATTGTACCCTAGTTCCCTTGGCAGTTATTGTACCCTAGATCCCTTGGCAGTTATTGTACCCTAGTTCCCTTGCCCGTTATTGTACACTAGATCCCTTGCCAGTTATTGTACCCTAGTTCTCTTGGCAGTTATTGTACCCTAGTGCCCTTGGCAGTTATTGTACCCTAGATCCCTTGCCAGTTATTGTACCTTAGGTCCCTTGGTAATTATTGTACCCTAGATCCCTTGCCAGTTATTGTACCCTAGATCCCTTGCCAGTTATTGTACCCTAGTTCCCTTGGCAGTTATTGCACCCTAGATCCCTTGCCAGTTATTGTACCCTAATTCCCTTGGCAGTTATTGTACCCTAGATCCCTTGCCAGTTATTGTACCCTAGTTCCCTTGCCAGTTATTGTATCCTAGTTCCCTTGCCAGTTATTGTACCCTGGAGTTTACCTAGAGAGAGTTTCGGGGGTCAACGCCCCCTCGGCCCGGTCTGAGACCAGGCCTCATGGCGGATCAGGGTCTGATCAACCAGGCTGTTACTGCTGGCCTCACGCACGATGACGTACGAACCACAGCCCGTGTGGTCAGGTACTGACTTTAGGTGCCTGTCCAGTGCCTTCTTGAAGACAGCCAGGGGTCTATTGGTAATCCCCCTTATGTATGCTGGGAGGCAATTGAACAGTCTTGGGCCCCGGACACTTATTGTGTTGTCTCTCAGTGTACTCGTGGCGCCCCTGCTTTTCATCGGGGAAATGTTGCATCTCCTGCCGAGTGTTTTGCTTTCATATGGAGTGATTTTCGTGTGCAGGTTTGGTACCAATCCCTCCACGACCTTCCAAGTGTATATTATCATGTATCTCGCCTGCGTTCGAGGGAATACAGATCAAGGACCTTCAACCGTTCCCAGTAGTTTAGGTGCCTTATCGCACTTATGTGTGCCGTGAAAGTTCCTTGTACACTCTACAGGTCTGCAATGTCGCCAGCCTTAAAGGGGGTCGCTAGTGTACAGCAGTATTCCAGCCTAGAGAGCACAAGCGATTTGAAGAGAACCACCATGGGCTTGACGTCCCTAGTTTTGAAAGTTCTCATTATCCATCCTATCATTTTCCTAGCGGATGAGGTAGATACATTGTTGTGGTCTTTGAAGGCGAGATCCTCTGACATTATCACTCCCAGGTCCTGCACATTACTTTCCCGCTCTATTGTAAAGTTAGAATTTGTGGTATACCCTGACACATTTTTAATTTCTTCAAGTTTTCCATATCTGAGTAGTTGAAATTTCTCCTCGTTGAACTTCATATTGTTTTGAGTGGCCATTCGAAGATTTTGTTGATGTCCGCTTGGAGTCTCGCAGTGTCTTCGATGGAGGTCACTGCCATGGTGATCTGGGTGTCATCCGCAAAGGAAGACACCCTTACATCTCGATGTCAGAAATGAGGATGAGGAATAGAATGGGAGTGAGTACTGTGCCTTGTGAAACAGAGCTTTTTACCATGGCTGCCTGGGACTTTACTCTGTTTACTATTAGTCTTTGTGTTCTATTTCCCACGAAGTTGTAGATCCATCTACCAACTTTTCCCGTTATTCCTTTATCCCGCATTTTGTGTGCTATTACACCATGGTCACACTTGTCGATAGCTTTTGCAAAATCTGTGTATACTACATCTGTATTTTGTTTATCCTCTAGAGAATCCGGGACCTTCTTATAGTGGTCCAATAGCTGGGACAGGCAGAAGCGACCTGCTCTAAACCCGTGTTGTCCTGGGTTGTGTAACTGATGGGTATCTAGGTGGTTGGCTATCTTCTGTAGTTCTTTGCAATTGCTTTAATGCCACCTTTGTGGAGTGGGGCTATGTCTGTTGTTTTTAGTGTGTGTGTGATGACCCCTGTGTCCACGCTCCCTCTCCATAAAATGCTGAAGCCACGCGATAGGGACTTCTTGCAATCTTGCAATTCTTGATGTTTAGTTTAATGTCTTTATTATGCACCCCATACCCATCCTGTGGGCGGTAGTCAAAAGATTACAAAGGTACATAATGGGTCCAGGGACTGGACCCCAAAGTTATGATAGCTGAACTAGTTACAAAGGTAATGAACTCCAGGTAGATCTGGTCACAATCATGGCAAGTTACAAAGGTAATGAATCAGCCTCACTCCTATACATGGTTACAGTCATGAACAAATTACAAAATAATGAACCACTGATACGTCCACACCTGGTCACAACTGTAATGAGTTATAAATACAAATATTAAGTGGGTCATTCACCCACACTAGCGCGCGCGCACACACATACACACACACGCCTAGGACAAAATGGTAACTAACACGAGGGCGCACGCACAGACATATCCACGAGTTCCCTTGCCAGTTTGTACCCGTCCCTTTGCCAGACATTTTACTCTAGTCCCCTTGCCAGTCATTGTACCCCAGTCCCCCTTGCCAGTCACTGTACCCGTCCCTTTGCCAGTCATTGTACCCTAGTCCCCATTCCATTGTATCCTAGACCCCCTTGCCAGTCATTGTACCCTAGTCCCTCAGTCTATACAGTACGTGCCGCGCGAGACTTCCTGATTCGCTCGAACAGAACAGAACAGAGGACTCACAGGTAAGGACCCGCTGGGGGCGAGGGGCAAGTAGGGACAGGAGGAAGAAAATAGGTTGGGGAGAGGAAATCTTTGAAAAGGAGGAAAAGTGTCAGGACTAGACCCCAACTGCTAATCAAGGGAAACAAAATGCATCAGTGTCACCTCAGAACATCACTCGCAATGACCGGAAGCGCAAGACACTGGTTACTGTGAAAAGGTAATGCAAACGACAATCGCAAGCAATTCAGCATAAAACGCACAGAGACACCTGATTCGCCGGTACTCTGAGTAAGTCTCCTTTTACTTGTTGCGGCTGTCCCTGTTCATCTAACAGTAAATTATGTAAATAGGTACTTATTTGTTTGTAGACTGTTGTGAGCCGCAACCTAGAGAAAACATTTCTATTGCAAATAATATAATAATAATAATAATAATGGTTATGGGATACCAAGAACATTTCTTGTTACTACAAGTATGCAATATTCTCTCTCTCACTCACACGGTTTGGGTAGAAATTCCTAACTATTTACAAGCTAAGAACTGTTATCTACAGCTCTTTCTCTACTACACGCGCACAGGCACATGGGCGCGCACAGCACACATTTTTTAGCGAATAAGTGTAAGCAGGTAGCAGAGAGGAGGCTGTGAATGTAATGTATAAAAAATACACGAGCGAGCACTAAAAAGAATATATAACATTATTATATTATTACAAAAAAAAAAAAAAAACACTGGGAAGGCGTCAAGACAAATACTGTTTTCAACTGTAACAATAAGCCAATAAGTTTATTTAGGCACAAGTACACTAAGTACAATTATCATACATAGTGTAAATTACCCAAGAAACCTTCAAAAAGTCAAAGTGGCTTATTTCCATAGTTGTCAGGATGAAAGGCAGAGTGACACTGTGAAAGCAGGTTCGGCAGACTCTAGTTAGTTAGTTTAATATGTTTATTATGCACCCCATACCCATCCTCTGGGCGGTAGTCAAAAGATTACAGAGGTACATAATTGGTCCAGGGACTGGACTCCAAAGTTTTGATAGCTGAGCAAGTTACAAAGGTAATGAACTAGATCTGGTCATAATCATGACCAAGTTACAAAGGCAATGAGCTCCAGGTTGAGCTGGTCACACTCATGAATAATTGCAAAGGTAATGAATCATAAACACATTAATCATGATAATTTACAAAGGTAATGAGCTCCAGGTAGAGCTGGTCACAATCATGACAAGTTTCAAAGGTAATGAATGATAAACACGTTATGACATGATTACAATCATAGACAAATTACAGAGTAATGAGCAGTTAACATAGTAGGGAATTCATCCATTGCCCCAACAGATGTTGCTAGGTGCCTGTCTCTCCTCGGCAGACAGCCATTGCAAACAGCAGCAAGTTGCCTCGGGATCTGCTGCTTGCACGAGCACCATCGACCCTCCCCAAGAGGTCCAAGAAGCCAGTGACTCCGTTAGCAGCCCGATGGAGAGCTGTCCTAGGGACATGTCAGCGTCCTGGTGGACGCCAAGTTGACTGATGATCCCAGGCCCTCGTGTGCACGGATATTGAAGCTTGAGGAACTGAGTACACACTGCCTGTGGCACACCTGACAGCTGCCTCGTGGTCGAACTCCACAATGCTGTCCCTGTAGTGGAAGTTCCTGTGAACCCGGCACTCCCTGCAGTGCCATCGCTGACATCGTGGGTTAGGGGAGAAGTACCCTCTACAGATGGGGTGGTGCTGGGAGTTGGGTGGGTGAGGCGGGGGAGACGCGCAGGGGTGAGGAGTTATGAGAGGGTCACTTTTTTTTTTTTTCGCCGGTATTCTCCCGGCCCGGGTCTTTTCCAAGTAGTGGTGACCCGGCCTTGGCTCCCTATCTGGGGAGGGTCTCCGAGAGAGAGGGTCACTGTTTACTACACACGCCCTCCCCCTCCCCCCAGCGGAGAGGGGGGAGGCGCTGACTGGTCCTGACTCAACAACACCAAACCATCTAAAACTGCACAACACTTCAACTATTTACGCTGAAACGATGCACTGGGATGTCCGTTCGCTGCTCTGGTATCTTCTCAAAGCATTCACACTGAGTTCTGTTAAGTAGGGACCTGGTCAGCCTCTTTGACCAGGAGCTATCCTTGAAAATACCGCAGCTAGCCCGCTACACAACCTGCCGCGTCGGCCATGTTGAGCCCTGTTTGGCAGACTCTTTCTCTGGTATTTTATTACTGACCTTAACTAGCAGCTGTAGGGATTCAAAATAAACTTGCCTTTCCAGAAGCAGTAGGAATAACACCTCGTGTGTTCAAGTCACATAGTGGAAAAGTAGGCAGTCTAAATTTACCCTAGGTAATTGACACATGTTACTAGGTATGATAATAGCATTTATATGTACTTGTGCCAAAATAAACTTACACACACACATGCACAGTAACACACGCAAACCTGTAAGAGATCCACTAAACGGTGACAGAGGTTACGTTAATATCTTCATTATGCACCCATACCCACCATCCTGGAGAGAAAGGGATGGTTAAATTGCATATTTTTGAACTGTAGAAAGGATTCTGGCACAGCACCGCACGAGAGAGTGGGGCAAAAGCTAGAACAGGCAAGAATAACAAATAAGGCACTGTAATGGCTCAAGGAATAATTAACAGGAAGAAAACACTGTCCGAAAAGAGGGGTCGGAATGGGTGTATGTGACGAGTGAGGTTCCACAAGGACCGGTACTAGGGCCGGTGCTGTTTCTTGCGTATGTGAGTGACATGACGGAAGGGATAGTAGTGTCCCTGTTCGCAGATGATGTGAAACTAATGAGAATACAAACATATGAGGACCAGGAAGGACAACAATGTAAATAAGTCACTCTGACTTTTTTGGGTTATCCTAGGTTCTCTATACATATGCTGCTATGTATGATAATCTATGTAACTGTATTTGTGCATACCTGAATAAACTTACTTACTTACCTGGACATTCTGCTGATTTGGTATAAAAAGTGGTTACCGGAATTTAATCCCAGCAAATGCACAATCATGAAGATTGGGGAAGGGCAAAGAAGACCGAAGACGGAGTACAGGATAGGGGTGCAAAGGCGACAAACCTCACCCATGGAGAAGGACCTCGAGGTGCGTACTGTACCAAGCATATCGCCTGAGGCGAACATCAAACGAATAATTTCAACAGCAAATGCGGGTCTAGCAGAGGCTCACACCAGCCCAATAAACTCAGCATGTTCCTCTGGCAAATATAAGAGTACCCTCAGGAATTTCAGCAAAGTCAATATTTCCCTTTTATGCAACATACCTCAGGCCCATCCTGTAGTATGCAGCACCAGAATGGAACCCACACGTGAAACAGCATCTTAAGAAACTGGAGTAAGAGCAGTTATGTAACGAAACTAGTTCCAGAGCTAAGGGGTATGAGCTACGAAGAAAGGCTAACAAATATGAATCTAACGACACTGAAGGACAGAAGAACCGGGGGACATGATAATATACAAAATACTCAGGAGAACTGACACAGTAGACAGGGACAATCTATTTGAGAGGTGTGAAACAGGTACTCTTGAATAGAGATGAGCAGCATTTCTTCAGTCTCAGGGTGGTCGGAAAGTGGAATGATCTCGACGAAGAAGTGGTAGAGGTAGGATCCATACATAGTTTTAAGAGTAGGTAATGACAAGGCCCACGAGGCTCGGAGGGAGTGAGTCTGGCAAGTGGCAAGCTGATAGGCGGGTTCAGGCGCTGAAACTCAGCCCATGAAACCACAAATAGGTGAGTACATGCGCGCTTCTCCGTGGCAGAGTCCCTGTGAAATACTAATCTGGAAAATACGAAGCAGTGATGGCATAAAAGTAAAAAACTATGACAGTGATGAAGAAATTTTCAGTTTGAAAAGTAAATGCAGACAGTGATAAGATAACAGATGCACCCAATGGGAAAATGTCAGCCGCGCTCGCAGGAATATTGATTATGCGATGAAATATTAAAAACGCCAGATAGATAGCTCGAAGAGGAATTTTAGGAAAAACATTACAAACGTAAATCATGTAAATGAAATCGTGAGAAACTCTTTGACTGTATTAGCAAACTTCAAAGTAGGCTACACATGTATTGATGGAAAAATGCAAAAAATAAATTTTCGCTACATTGTTAGGCTAAAGTTAGATTGTACAACAGCGGAAAGAAAATGTTTAAAGACGCAAATAACTTATTCTTTATCTTTCTTTCAACACACCGGCCGTATCCCACCGAGGCAGGGTGGCCCAAAAGGAAAAACGAAAGTTTCTCCTTTTACATTTAGTAATATATACAGGAGAAGGGGCTACTAGCCCCTTGCTCCCGGCATTTTAGTCGCCTCTTACAACACACATGGCTTACGGAGGAAGAATTCTGTTCCACTTCCCCATGGAGGTAAGAGGAAATAAACAAGAATAAGAACTAGAAAGAAAATAGAAGAAAACCCAAAGGGATGTGTATATATATGCTTGTACATGTATGTGTAGTGTGACCTAAGTGTAAGTAGAAGTAGCAAGGCGTACCTGAAATCTTGCATGTGTATGAGACAGAAAAAAAAGACACCAGCAATCCTACCATGTGTAAAACAATTACAAGCTTCAGTTTTACACTCGCCTGGCAGGACGGTAGTACCTCCCTGGGCGGTTGCTGTCTACCAACCTACTATATATATATATATATATTATATATATATATATATATATATATATATATATATATATATATATATATATATATATATATATATATATATATATATATATATATATATATATATATATATATATATATATATATATATAATACATATATATAGATAGATAGTTTTAAGTGGCAGTACTTAAATTATTATTATAATCAAAAAGAAGCGCTAAACCACAAGGGCTATACAGCGCTGCTCAGGCAGTACTTACTAAAGCATTTACCACTTGTCTGACAAAGGCTATTTTCTCACTCTAGTTTCAATCACGCAAACATCTTGGCAATATTTTGTATGTTAGCAAGACCAGAGGTCCAGCAAGGTGTACTAATTAACGGTATACTACTATATAGTTCATCGGATATACCTGGAAGGTAGTTTACCTAGAGGGTGGTATACCTGGAGGTGGTATACCTGGAGGGTGGTGTTCAAGGGGTCCACGGCCCCGCGGCCCGGTCTATGACCAGGCCTCGTGGTGGATCAGGGCGTGATCAACCAGGCTGTTACTTCTAGCCGCACACCAACCAGCGTACGGACCACAGCTCCTTGAAGACAGCCAGGGGTCTACTGATAATCCTCCCCCATATGTACGTAGGAGGCATTTGAACAGTCTTGGGCCCCTGACACTGAGGAATGTATTTCTCTCAGAGTGTATATACTGAGAGGTTATTTTAATCTCTATTTTAAATATTATAGTGTTCTTGTCTGGTGGTGAAAGATTATCCGGCAGTTTTTTTTGACGCTGGAGTAGTCGATAGGCTTCAAACCCCATCAACCAACTAACCATTTCGAGATTAAAAAAAAATAATTAAAAGTCGTATTTTCTATTAGCTTAGGCCTTAGAGTTTTTTTTCGAAAAATTTCAAGACCTTTAGATATCCCTAAAAAGGATTCTTAGTATTATTACAAAGTTTGTCTGATCTAAAATTATGTTGCTCGCTTTAGTATACAAACTAAGTTTTTATAGCAAATATTAAGTGACAATGATTTTTTCCCAGTGGAAAATTATATACAAAAAAAAATAAGAAGAGAAAAATATTAAAAAAAAAATGGTTTGTAAAATAGGCTTTGTATAACATTAATTTGTCTTATCTAAACTTTCTTTAATTTCCTGGATATCTTTATTAATCTTATTCCGAATCTTAATACATCGACACCATGCCTAACCCTTCTAGGGTAGGGTAGGTGCCTGAGTCCGAGCCTTTAGCTCATAAGACTGTCATTCCCATTTGCCCCCTTGGGGCGGGGATGGCAGACCAGAGAGGCCTAGCTTGTGGCTAGGCCTGGGAACAGTTGGTCCCAAAGATGAGGAGGTATTTGTGCCTCCTCCCATGGGAGACTTAGGTCTCAGACACTCCCTAAAGAGGGAGCCAAGGCCGGGCCACCACTTGGAAAAGGCCCGGGCCGGGAGAATACCGGCGAATCTTTAATAATAATAATAATAAGAAGAAGAATCTTAATAATTAAAAACAACACCTAACTGTTGATGGTAAACATAAGTGATTGTGAAGATGGAGTTTTAAGTGTATTTTAAGTTGAAGACAGGAGGTGGTGATGCTGGTGTTGTGGCGTTGTTGTACTTGACTCACGAAATCGTAATGACACGATTACAAACAAACCATACCACGGGTGGATTTGAACCCGCGGTCAGGTCTCAAAACTCCAAACCGTCGCGTTAGCCACTGGTTTGTTGTACTTGATTCTGTCCTCACATCTCTTTATTCTCCCTCAATGCTATTTCATTTTTCTTCCTCTGCTTCTTTATATTCCCTTCATTTTTTATCCCTCTTTAAATGTTACTCGCTTCTACATTTGTTCCTATCGCTGTTCATCTGTATTATTATACAGTATATATGAAATAAGTCACTTCGTCTGACTTTTTTGGGTTATCCTAGGTTATTTACACATATGTTACAATGCAAAATAACCAAAGGTGGAGTTGATTGATAGCTCTAGGCCTTTCTTGTTGCAATCAACACATCTTCAGGAGCTTGCAGTGTTGCAGAAATGAGTAGGTAGATTCGTTCAGGGGAACGGCTCTAGCTAACTAGAAAAACCCAGAGCTATCATTCAACTCCCCTTGTTATTTTGTTAGTTCGTTCGCGAGTACTGCATATGTTACTAGGTATGACAATTGTAATCATCTACATTTTGGTAACTGTATTTACGTGTCCCTGTGTCTAAATAAACCTATTTAACATAGTTTACATGACCCTACAAGCTGCAACATCCATACCCTTCCTTCAGAGTACACTCTGTGCTTCCCACCTCCAGGACTCAAGTATATCCAACTGGAATTCCTGAATCCTTTCATTAATGTTACTTTGATCACTCCAAAAGCACATTGAATCTCATGAACCACTTGTCTCTACTCCACTCTAATACACTCACATAAGCCTGCTAGATACTCATGCCCCCAAACCTTTAGCATATGTTTTTGTCAAACTTTCCCTCCATCCCTTGTGTGTGTGTGTGTGTGTGTGTGTGTGTGTGTGTGTGTGTGTGTGTGTGTGTGTGTGTGTGTGTGTGTGTGTGTGTGTGTGTGTGTGTGTGTGTGTGTGTGTGTGTGTGTGTGACCCAGTTAGTATTTGCACTAATAAGTCATTACAGTTGTGACCGGGTGTGGACGTGTGAATTGCTCATTACTTTGTAATTTGCTCATGATTGTAACCACCATGTATAACGTGTGAATGATTCGTTACCTTTGTAACTTGGTCATGATTGTGACCAGATGTACCTGGAGTTCATTACCTTTGTAATTTGTTCAGCTATCAAAACTTTGGGGCCCAGTCCCTGGACCCATTATGTATCTGTAATCCTTTGACTACCACCCACAGGATGGGTATGGAGTGCATAATAAATATATTAAACTAAACTAAACCTTCCTGGGACGAACCCTACAGAGTCTATCCACTCTGGAATTTATGCAGCCTCATGTTCAACCTCTCTAGCTCCGTTCTAACACCTCTTCCTCTTTCTGAATTGCTGTTGATGTCTTTTTGGATAACTGACATGTTATAAATGTTTCTTGTACAATATAACAGAAAGACTAATACAATATATATATATATATATATATATATATATATATATATATATATATATATATATATATATATATATATAATATATATATCAATAACAACACTGCACTAGCCAAGGAATCGAACCCATGCTGCTTTGGCCTGTCTCATGGTGGGCGAAGACACATGACGCCCTAATCCACTGGACCATACGAGAGAGAGAGAGAGTAGCTCCACTTTCTTGGTTTGCCTCCCCCCCCTCTCATCTGCGACTGCTTGACAGAGTAGAGAACAAAGCAAGACGTCTCAACCCTCGCCTGGACCCATCCTGGATAGATCTGTCATTTCAGCAGAGCCTTCAACACAGGAGGGATGTGAGTGGCCTTACTGTTATGTACAAGGCCAATATTGTCAAAGTACCACACTTGAATCCACTTCGAGGACAACGTGAAACAAGCTTTTATGCCATAAGACGGGCAGAAAGCAGCAACTTCACTCTGGCTGTACCCTTCTCCAGAACATCACTCCATCTGAATTATTTATCAACAGGATGACTCGAGTCTGGAACACATTCGTACGGCATAATGATGTCAACGAGATAAAGTCAGTTGATCAAATGAAAATGACGGCCCACAGATGACTCTAACTTCATCCTATTCCCTACTTGTATGTTTCATAACAATAAAAATGCTTTCAAATGAGCTGATGTAGGTAACAGCTCTCAGCTTGTCAATAAAGTTAGGAATCCTTAACTTGTCAACAGTTTGTCAATAAAGTTAGAGATCCTTAACCTAACCTTGTCACACTCTGTGTAAGAGGGAGAGAGAGAGAGAGAGAGAGAGAGAGAGGAGAGAGAGAGAGGAGGAGAGAGAGGAGAGAGAGGAGAGAGAAGGAGAGGAAAGAGAAAGAGAGAGAGAGAGAGAGAAGAGAGAGAAGAGAGAGAGAGAGAGAGAGAGAGAGAGAGAGAGAGAGAGAGAGAGAGAGAGACAGAGACAGACAGAGAACTGAAGTTCATTAAATCTGTATAATTTAATTTCCAAGAATGTTATGACACTAAATTCAGGACATCAATACACTTCCCGGGAGCAACAAACATGTCAACAAAACTGGAAAAAATATGCTGCAAAACAATGTAGGGTCAGTCGCGATAGTATAATTATAATTTTTTTTTCATTATACGTAAGATGTAGCATTAAGGTGGCAATATTTACACCATGTGCAAATATTCGGAATGTGCAACTATTGTTCCGTGACGAAATCTTAATTGTGCCTGTATTGATTTGCCACTTTATTCTTATAGTTGTGTGTGGATCTTGCCTCTGCCATTTTATTGTTCATGTCGTTTCATTTCCTGACCATTCTGAGGCTGAAGCAATGTTTCCTAACATCCTTGTGACTCATCTGTGATTTTAAACTTGGGATCTGACATGAAGAGGGCAATAAACCAAAGAAAAGTCATAATGAACGATTGCCAATGAATAAACAGAAGAATGGTCAGGGACTTGAACCGTGGTCCACATGTATAGCAGGCCCAACGCCGTAACCACTCCATCAAGGAGCTTACAATAGGATAGTTTTACAACCAGCATTTCTGAGACATGGTTTAATTATTGGCATTAACTGTGATTACAGCGTAGGGCCTGCTATTTTTCAGTTTATTCATCAGAGAGCAAGTCAGCGTGTATCTAACACCAAGAGAAAGGATCTAATTTATATCTAAACACCAAGTGGTCACGCCTAACGCCAAGAGATGATTATTTACACTGTCAACAAGAGAACAAAAGTCTAACCGCAAATCAATACCTCCAGGTAGGCTAACCTTGAGTGCAGGTGACGCCATACACGCGGAACGCCCCCAGAAACATTCCATCACCACCCATCATGTTCATGTCGTCCAGGCTATTTGGTGAAGCCCTGCACCTTCTGAATATCCCGCGCCTGCCTCCTCTAGGAGGCTTAGGCATGGGTAGTGTGGGCATGGGTGGTGGCAGCAAAGGCTTCTTCAGACCAAGTCACCGATGCATCAGCCTCACTCACAATGGTGAGTCACGGCTTGCCAAATGAGCTAATAAAATCCCTATTATATTACTATAGCATAAGAAAGTGATAACCTTTGTAAGGATTATAGAGCCCCTGGAGAATGACAGGTAATCTTATTTGATCCGAGGGAGGGGAGAAGAGCTCAATTTCCGTGGATCAAAAGTCCTTCACTAGTATCAAGGTACCACAGATGTAATATCATGGTAATGGTGTTAAGTCTTTTGTTTATAATGGTTTTCTTCTCATTCATTTTGACTTGATTGTGAATCGATATATAATTCTTAACTAATATTGCAAAATTGTGAATTGATGTTATTCAATGTTACAAATTAGAGACTCCTCGCCTAATGAACTTTTAAAACCACCATAAATATCCTCAACTTATTTACACGAATTTCAAAATAAGTATAAGCCCGAATAGGCTTTTAATGTTTACGTTTGTCTGTCTTATCTATACATTTTGAAGGAAAAAGTTCGGCAGCCTTGGAATTGGATTTTGGGAACCACAAGACAGCCTTCAGACACAAGACAGCTAGAGAGCTGCTCCGAGGACTGGTGGTGCTCTACGCCTGTGCTATCGACCCTTTGGTCAACCATAGCTACAAGGTCAGTCGACCAATTGGTTAACCACAGCTACAAGGTCAGTCTATCCCTTGGTCAACCACAGCTACAAGGTCAGTCGACCCCTTAGACAACCTCAGTTACAAGGTCAGTCGACCCCTTGGTCAACAACAGCTACAAGGTCGGTCAACCAATTGGTCAATAACAGCTACAAGGTCGGTCAACCAATTGGTCAACAGCAGCTACAACATCAATCGACCCCTTGATCGGTTAAAGTTACAAGGTCCTCTCATCTTATCTCTTTTAATATAGTTTATTTGATGGAAGTGGGTTGCTTTGGTGTTGAAAATATGCGATTCTCTATGTGTGCTTAATATACAGAATAAAATATTGTATATACAAATTATAGTACAGATAGAAAAAATTATGTAGACTAAAATAGTGAGAGCGAAATTATATATATACTTTAGTACTGACAACAAGATGAGTAGTGTATGTACTCACCTATATTTACTCACTTCACATATGTGGTTGCAGGGGTCGAGTCTCAGCTCCTAGCACCGCCTCTTCACTGGTCACTACTAGACCCACTCTCTCCCGGCTCTACGAGCCTTATCGTACCTCTTCTTAAAGCTATGTATGGATCCTGCCACTACTACGTCGCTTTTCAGATCGTTTCATTTATTGATAACTTGAAAGACCTGAAGAAATATTTCCTAACATCCCTATAACTCATCTGAGTTTTTAACTTTCAGTTGTGTCTTCTTGTTCCTGTGTCCCAAGTCGGAAACATTCTGGCCCTCTTCACCCTGTCTAGTCCTCTTAGCATTTTATACTTCGTTATCATGTCCCCTTCTGTCCTCCAGTGTCATCAGATTCAGCTCCCTTAACCTCTCCTCGGAGGGCATAACCCCTTAGCGCCATGACTAGTCTTGTTGCAAACTTGTGCATTTCCTCTAATTTCTAGACGTGTTTGAACAGGTGTACGTTTAATACTGGTGCTTCGTACTTCAATATGGGCCTGACGTAAACGGTGTACAGTGTCGTGCACGACTCCTTACTTAGATGTCGAAACGCTATTCTAAGGTTTTGCCGGCCCCCTTCTGTTGCAGTAATTATTTGGCTCATGTGCGCCTCAGATGTGCTCTGTATGATACCCACCCCAATATCCTTTTCTTTGAGTGAATTATTATTATTATTATAATCAAAGGAGAAGCGATAAACCCGGAGGATTATACAGCGCCTGGGGGGAGGGATGTGGAAGGCATTCAGGCTTAATTTGGGGAGCTGGAGCAAGATCCAATCACTAAATCAAGAGCCCCTCACCAACATCAAGGAACCTTCCTTGAGGGGTCTTTGAGTGAAGTTTGCAGCCTTTGGTACCCGAGCCTGTATCCCATCTGCGATCTTCTTTGTCCTTCCCTAAGCTTCATAACTTTGCACTTGGTGGGGTTAAACTCCAGGAGCCATTTGTCAGACCAGGTTTGCAGATTTTCTAGATCTCTTTGTATCTTTGTAGTCTTTCCTAATCCTCGTCCGCTTGTATTCTCATCAGTTTCACAGCCTTCCGTATGTGTGCGTACTCACCTAGTTGTGGTTGCAGGGGTCGATTCATAGCTCCTGGCCCCGCCTCTTCACTGGCCGCTACTGAGTCACTCTCCCAGCACAATGAGCTTTATCATACCTCTGCTTAAAGCTATGAATGGATCCTGCCTCCACTACATCGCTTCCCAAACTATTCCACTTCCTGACTACTCTGTGACTGAAGAAATACTTCCTAACATCACTGTGATTCATCTGTGTCTTCAGCCTCCAATTGTGTCCCTTTGTTGCTGTGTCCCATCTCTGGAACATTCTGTCTCTGTCCACCTTGTCAAATCCTCTCAGTATTTTGTATGTCGTTATCATGTCCCCCCTATCTCTCCTGTTCTCCAGTGTCGTCAGGTCGATTTCCCTTAACCTCTCCTCGTAGGACATACCCCTTAGCTCTAGGACTAGTCTTGTTGCAAACCTTTGCACTTTCTCTAGTTTCTTTACGTGCTTGGCTAGGTGTGGGTTCCAAACTGGTGCCGCATACTCCAACATTGGCCTAACGTACACGGTGTACAGGGTCCTGAAAGATTTCTTATTAAGATGTCGGAATGCTGTTCTGAGGTTTGCTAGGAGCCCATATGCTGCAGCAGTTATTTGGTTGATGTGCGCTTCAGGAGATGTGCCTGGTGTTATACTCACCCCAAGATCTTTTCCTTGAGTGAGGTTTGTAGTATCTGGCCCCCTAGACTGTACTCCGTTTGCGGTCTTCTTTGCCCTTCCCCAATCTTCATGACTTTGCACTTGGTGGGGTTGAACTCCAGGAGCCAATTGCTGGACCAGGTCTGCAGCCTGTCCAGATCCCTTTGTAGTTCTGCCTGGGCTTCAATCGAATGAATTCTTCTCATCAACTTCACGTCATCTGCAGACAGGGACACTTCGGAGTCTATTCCTTCGGTCATGTCGTTCACAAATACCAGAAACAGCACTGGTCCTAGGACTGACCCCTGTGGGACCCCGCTGGTCATAGGCACCCACTCTGACACCTCACCACGTACCATGACTCGCTGCTGTCTTCCTGACAAGTATTCCCTGATCCATTGTAGTGCCTTCCTGTTACCCCTGCTTGGTCCTCCAGTTTTTGCACTAATCTCTTGTGTGGAACTGTGTCAAACGCCTTCTTGCAGTCCAAGAAAATGCAATCCACCCACCACTCTCTCTCTTGTCTTACTGCTGTCACCCGTCATAGAACTCCAGTAGGTTTGTGACACAGGATTTCCCGTCCCTGAAACCATGTTGGGTGCTGTTGATGAGATCATTCCTTTCTAGGTGCTCCACCACTCTTCTCCTGATAATCTTCTCCATGACTTTGCCTCTATACATGTCAGTGACACTGGCCTGTAGTTTAGTGCTTCATGTCTGTCTCCTTTTTTAAAGATTGGGACTGTGTGTGTGTGTGTGTGTGTGTGTGTGTGTTAGTTACCATTTTGTCCTAGGCACATGTCGATTAGACACTAGGCTGTGTACGTGTTGTATTGTGTGTGTGTGTGTGTGTTTGTGTTGTGTGTTTTGTGTATGGGGAGAGTGGCATGTGTCTGTGTGTTGTTTGTGTTTGCGTGTGTGTGTGTGCTCGTGTGTGTGTCTGCGTGTGTGTCTCGTGTATGTCTCGTGTGTGTGTCTGCGTGTGTGTCTGCGTGTGTGTGTGTGGTTGTGTGTGTGTGAGTGTCGGGTGGTGGGTTTTGGTGGGGTGTGTGAGTGTGTGTGGTTGTGTGTGTGTGGTTGTGTGGTGTGGAGGTTGGTGTGGTTGTGTGTGTGTGGTTTTGTGGTTGTGTGTGTGGTTGTGGGTTGTTTTGGGGGTGTGTGTGGGGTGGTGTGTGTGGTGTGTTGTGTGTGGTTGTGAGTGTGTGGTTGTGTGTGGGGTGGTGTTGTAGTGTGTGGTGTGTGGGGTGTGTGGTTGTGTGGGTGTGGTGTGGTGTGGTTGGGTGTGTGGGGTGTGGTGTGGGGTGTGTGTGTGTGGGGTGTGTGTGTGGTTGTGGTGTGTGTGTGTGTGTGTGTGGTTGTGTGGTTTTGGGGTGTGGGGTGTGTGTGGTGTGTGTGTGGTGTGTGTGGTGTGTGGGGTGGTGTGTGGTGTGTGGGGTGTGTGTGGTGTGTGTGTGGTGTGTGTGGGGTGTGTGTGTGTGTGTGGGGTGGCGTGTGTGTGTGTGTGTGGTGTGTGTGTGTGTGTGTGGTGTGTGTGTGGGGTGTGTGTGGTGTGTGTGGGGGTGTGGGGTGGTGTGTGTGTGGTTGTGTGGTGTGGTGGTGTGTGGTGTGTGTGTGGTGTGTGGGGTGTGTGTGGTGTGTGTGTGTGTGTGTGTGGTGTGTGTGTGTGTGGTGTGTTGTTGTTTTGGTGTGTGTTGGTGTGTGTGTGTTGGTGTGTGTGTGGTGTGTGTGTGTGTTGTTTTGGTGTGTGTGGTGTGGGTTGTGTGTGGGTGTGTGTGTGGTTTTGTGTGGTGGTTGGTGGTGTGTGGGGTGGTTGTGTGGTGTGTGTGTGTTGTGTGGTGTGTTGGTGTGTGTGGTGTGTTTGTGTGTGTGTGTTGTGTGTGTGTGTGTGTGGGGTTTTTGGTTTTTGTGGGGTTGTGGTGTGGGTGGTGTGTGGTGTGTTGTGGGTGTGTGTGTGTGTGGTGTGTGTGTGTGTGTGGTGTGGGGGTGGTGTGGGGTGGGGTGGTGTGTGTGTGTGTGGTGTGTGTGTGTGGGGTGTGTGTGGTGTGTGGTGTGTGTGTGGTGTGTGTGGTGTGTGTGTGTGGTGTTGTGTGTGTGTGTGTGTGTGGTGTGTGTGTGTGTGTGTTGTGGTGTTGGGGTGTGTGTGTGTGTGTGTGTGTGGGGTTTTGTGTGTGTTGGTGTGGGTGTGTGTGTGTGGGGTTTGTGGGGTTGTGTGTGTGTGGGTGTGTTGTTTTTTTGGGTTGGTGTGTGTGTTGTTGTTGTTGTGTAGGTGTAGGGTTTTTTTTGGCCCTTTGTCCCGGGTTGGAAATAGGCCTTTGATGAGTGTGTGTGTATACCTTTTGTGGTTAGGGTGGTTCCTGCTCCTGGCCTTTCAAGTTTATCCATTGCCCTACTAACATCCCCTCCCTTTATATTGAGTTCCACCATGTCTTCTGGTTTGGTTCCTCCCTACAAATCCTTTCCTCTGCTATCCACTGCCTTACTCTTTTGGTATTCTACATCCTCGCTTATTTTGTTTCCTCCATTGGGCTTTTTGTTCCCTCCTATCTTCCTGTCTAGGATTTCTATTCCCCATAGTTTTTTTGTTTTGTTTTCTGTGTGTTGGGGTGTGTGGTTTTTTAGTTTTTTATGTGTATTTGTGTGTGTGTGTGTGTGTGTGTGTTGTGTGTTGTGTGTGTGTGGGTGTGTGTGTGTGTTAGTGTGTGTGGTGTGTGTTGGTGTGTGTGTGTGTGTGTGTGTGTTTTTGGGGGTGTGTTGTTGTGTTGTTATGTGTGTGTGGTGTGTGTTTATTGTGTGTGTGTGGTGTGTGTTTTGATGTGTATGGGTGTATGTTGTGTGTGTGTTGTGTGTGTGGTGTGTTTTGGTGTTGTGTTGTGTGGTGTTGTGTTGGGGTGTGTGTGGTGGTTGGTGATTTGGGGTGTTTGTGTGTTGTGTTGTGTTTTGTGTGGTTGGCGAATGGTAAACTTTGCGATCTTGCTTAAAAGAAGTTCATTGTTGGCAATGAAATTTGTGTATGCAATAAATCGCAATCACTGCCTAAGGGAAAAAAAAATTTTTATGTGTTTGTTAATATTAAAATTCCCTTAACAAATAAAATTTATTTACTGGTTAGTAAAATTAAATTCGTAAAAATATATTAAGTTTAAGTTTTGTGAAAATTTTAATTTTTTAATAATTTAGAAAAATTTTTTCTTTAAAAGTAAAAAAATTTTAAAACTTAATTTAATATTCTTAAACAAAAATTTTTAAAATATTGAAATACATCAAATAATTATTTTATATATTAATATATATTTATATATATTATAAATATATTTTATATATTTTAATATATATATATATAATATATATATATATATATATATATATAAAATATATATATATAAAGTGGATAAAAAGGCTTCAAGGAAAAATATTAGGATTTCTTCCTGAAGCCGTTTGAATTTCCACTTCCCCTACCACCCCATCTTTTCTTTTTTTTTACCAACAGGTATTTTTTAAATTTCATAATATGGTACAAAAGATTTAAGAGATACATAGTTGATATATGAACCTCTTCTAATTAAGGGTCCAATTCTACAGGTAGTTATTATTTTGGGGATTTTGCATATGAATAAAAACATTTGTGTCACTCTTTCCCAGGGAAGGGGTGGTAAGGGTCCCTAGTTTTTTACCCGGGGAATACCTGTGGTCGGTATTGGGGGGTTCCTTATATTCTTGATTCAGGAACAAAGGGGTCAGGATCTAATGACCCTGACCCACTGTAAGTAAAAGAGGGGCGCCAGGGGAAATATTTCGACCCCCTTCAATACAACCCTGGTGAGTACATAGTACACACCACTGCCAGCGCTGTTAACAAGAAGCACCCCCTCCCCCTCCCCCCTTCTTCCTGAAACCCCCAACACCAGATAGTGTTTCCACCTCATCGAGAGGAGGGGTAGAGCGTGCTCATGAACCCTCTCTCATAGTGGGAGGGGAAGGTTAGAGTGAGCCTCGTCATCAACCCTCCCTCTAAAGGGAGGGTGGGGATAGAGTGTAGTGTTCCCGGTGGGGGGGGGTGAGTGAGTCCTCGTCTAACCCTCCTATAAGGGGGGAGGTGGATAGAGTGAGCTGTCATCAGACCTCCCTATAAGGGGGGGGAAGTGATAGGAGCTGATGCTCGTCATCAACGTGTGTGTGTGTGTGTGTGTGTGTGTGTGTGTGTGTATGTGTGTGTGTAGTGTGTGCAGTGTGTGCGTGTGGTGTGTGAGTGTGTGCCGTGTGTGAGGTGTGAGTGTGTGCTGTTGTGTGGTGTGTCAGTGTGTGCCGTGTGCACTGGTGTTGTGTGTGGTCTGTGTGTGCTGTGTGGTGGTCAGTGTGTTTGTGTGTGTGTGTGAGTGTGTCATGTGTGTGATGTGAATGCGAGATTAGTGATGCCAGTGTGTACATTGTTTGAATGGTGTGTGTTGTGTGTGTGTGTTGTGGTGTGTGTGTGTGGTGTGTGGGTGTGTGTGGTGTGTGTGGTGTGTGTGTGGTGTGTGTGTGTGTGTTGGTGTGTGTGGTGTGTGTGTGTGTGTGTGGTTGTGTGGTGTGTGTGTGTGTGTGTGTGTGTGTGTGTGGTGTGTGTGTGTGTGTGGTGTGTGTGTGTGTGTGTGTGTGGTGTGTGTGTGTGTGTGGTGTGTGTGTGTGTGGTGTGTGTGTGTGTGTGTGTGTGTGTGTGTGTGTGGTGTGTGTGTGTGTGTGGTGTGGTGTGTGTGTGTGGGTGTGTGTGTGTGTGGTGTGGGTGTGTGTGTGTGTGGTTGTGTGGTGTTGTGTGTGGGTGCGTGTGTGTGTGTGTGTGTGGTGTGTGTGTGGTGTGTGTGTGTGTTGGTGTGTGTGGTGGTGTTGGGGTGTGTGGTGTTGTGTGTGTGTGGTGTGTGTGTGTGGTGTGTAGTGTGTGGATGTGGTGTGTGTTGTGTGTGGTGTTTATGTGTGTGGTGTGTATGTGTGTGGTGTGTATGTGTGTGGTGTGTATGTGTGTGGTGTTATGTGTGTGGTGATGTATGTGTGTGGTGTGTATGTGTGTGGTGTTATGTGTTGGTGTGTGTGTGGTGTGTATGTGTGTGGTGTGTATGTGTGTGGTGTGTGTGTGGTGTGTGTGTGGTGTGTGTGTGGTGTGTGTGTGGTGTGTGTGTGTGTGTGGGGTTGTGTGTGGTTGTGTGTGTGCGGTTGTGTGTGTGGGGTTGTGTGTGTGGGGTTGTGCTCACCTAATTGCTCACCTAATTGTGGTTGCAGGGGTCGAGACTCAGCTCCTGGCCCTGCCTCTTCACTGATTCCTACTAGGGCCTCTCTCTCTCTGCTTCCTGAGCTTTATCATACCTCTTCTTAAAACTATGTATGGTTCCTGCCTCCACTACTTCACTTGCTAGGCTATTCCACTTGCTGACAACTCTATGACTGAAGAAATACTTCCTAACGTCCCTGTGACTCGTCTGAGTCTTCAGCTTCCAGTTGTGACCCCTTGTTCCTGTGTCCCCTCTCTGGAACATCCTATCTCTGTCCACCTTGTCTATTCCCCGCAGTATCTTGTATGTCGTTATCATGTCTCCCCTGCCCCTTCTGTCCTCCAGTGTCGTCAGTCCGATTTCCCTCAACCTTTCCTCGTGTGTGTGTGTGTGCGTTGTGTGGTGTGTGTGTGGTGTTGTGTGTGTTGTGTGTGTGTGTGTGTGTGTGTGTGTGTGTGTGTGTGTGTGTGTGTGTGTGTTGTGTGTGGAGAGAGTGTGTGTGTGTGTGTGTGTGTTAGTTACCATTTGGTGTGTGTGTACTCACCTATTTGTACTCACCTATTTGTGGTTGCAGGGGTCGAGTCCTAGCTCCTGGCCCCGCCTCTTCACCGGTTGCTACTAGGCCCTCTCTCTCCCCGCTCCATGAGCTTTATCAAACCTCGTCTTAAAACTGTGTATGGTTCCTGCCTCCACTACGTCATTTTCTAGGCTATTCCACTGCCTTACAACTCTATGACTGAAGAAATACTTCCTACTATCTCTCTGACTCATTTGTGTCTTCAACTTCCAATTGTGGCCTCTTGTTTCTGTGTCCCCTCCCTGGAACATCCTGTCTTTGTCCACCTTGTCTATTCCACGCAGTATTTTATATGTCGTTATCATGTCTCCCCTGACCCTCCTGTCCTCCAGTGTGGTCAGGCCGATTTCCCTTAATCTTTCCTCATAGGACATTCCCCTTAGCTCTGGAACTAACCTTGTCGCAAACCTTTGTACTTTCTCTAGTTTCGTGTGTGCGTGTGTGTGTGTGTGTTTGGGTGTACTCACCTATTTGTACTCACATATTTGTGTGTGTGTGTACTCCTGGCCCCGCCTCTTCACCGACCGCTACTAGGTCCTCTCTCCCCCTGCTCCATGAGCGTTATCATACCTCGTCTTAAAACTATGTATAGTTCCTGCCTCCACTACATCGCTTGCCAGACTATTCCACTTCCTAACTACTCTATGACTGAAGAAATACTTCCTAACATCCCTTTGACTCATCTGAGTCTTCAGCTTCCAATTGTGACCCCTTGTTTCTGTGTCCCATCTCTGGAACATCCTGTTTCTGCCCACCTTGTCTATTCCACGCAGTATTTTGTATGTCGTTATCATGTCTCCCCTGACCCTCCTGTCCTCCAGTGTTATCAGATCGATTTCCCTTAACCTTTCTTCATAGGACATTCCCCTTAGCTCTGGAACTAACCTTGTTGCAAACCTTTGCACTTTCTCTAATTTCTTGACGTGTTTGACCAGGTGTGGATTCCAAACTGGTCCAGTATGGGCCTGACGTACACAGTGTATGAAGTCTTGAACGATTCCTTACTGAGGTACCGGAACGCTATTCTCAGGTTTGCCAGGCGCCCATATGCCGCAGCAGTTATCTGGTTAATGTGTGCTTCTGGCGATGTACTCGGTATTGTACTCACTCCTAGGTCTTTCTCCTTGAGCGAGGTTTGCAGCCTTTGGCCACCTAGCCTATACTCTGTCTGCAGTCTTCTTTGCCCTCCTCCGATCTTCATGACTTTGCATTTGGCGGGGTTAAATTCTAGGAGCCAGTTTCTGGACCACGTGTGTGTGTGTGTGTGTGTGTGTGGAGCTTTTTTTTTTAGGACGAAGTTTACAATCTTTGCTCATACAGCAACGACCTTCTCGCCCAACAAGCTGAGTGTTAATTCATTGTAACAATAACTCCGAGAAAACCTGACTGAATGTTACAAAACTGTCGTTCAGTAATACTAGCAAAATTTAGTTTGGCGTAAGAGGAGTTTGTTAGGACTAAGCTTAATTATATTACTTCAGTTTTAAGAAGGTTAGGGTAGGTTGATAAGTTAGTTTTGGTGCATGCAACAAGCTAACATGGTTTAGTTTTTTTTTACCAAAAGTAACATATCAAGCTAATCTAGCCTTGCACATGTTCCTAGTATTCTCTCTAATAGCTAGGTGACATTCTCTCTAGTATACATAAAGGAGATATTCTTGATTTAAAATTATAAATTAAAATATTTGACAGGCATTAATTAAATCTAACTAAACCAAAGAATATACCTTTCACTTACTCGAATTAAACCTGATTACCTCCCATTTCCCAGAGTCTGTATGACCCTTATGGGTTTAGCACTTCCCCAGGAATATAACAATAATAATATACAACTTGCAGTGTTGCGGTACTCCCACTGAACGTAATATATGTGTTGCTGCAGTTACTGACGCTAGGAGAGCGGGTGCTGGGGGAGAAGTTGCTGGGCTTTTTGGTGGCACCCTTCTATAACCAGTTCGTGGCTGGTGACTCCGGGAAAGAGCTGGGCGCCGTCAGCAGGCGCTTGGCCAGCGTCAACGTCAGATTGATGGTGGCACCCATGCTAGAGACGGATGTGGGCGAGGGCCATGATATGTAAGTTTCTCCTGCTAACCTGTTATCTTAAGAGTGGTGCCTGGGACCATGATATTAAGTTTCTGCTGTTAACCAGTTATCTTAAAATGTGGGGCCGAGGGCCATTTCTCCTGCTAACCTGTTATCTTGAGGTAACCATGCGTATGTAAACAATTTTGAGAACGTAAGGAAAAGAAATGTCAGCATTATCAGTAGATTGCTGTTTTTCGACGTTTTATCTAAATACATTTAAATTAACGTAAGGAACTAAGTATAACAACGCAACAAAAATGCAAAAATATTTTTACGATACATAAAGCCTGAAAACCAGGACAACTTTGGTGAACGTGTTTTTTTTCACGCTTTTTAAAATGTGAAAAAACACGCTTTCATATGAGGATACGAAGCTTGGTTTTAGTTTGGCCCTAAAATCTGGAATACCCTACCTGAGAACTCTAGAACTGTCAGACACATTCATCACCTTCAAAACTACCATTAGAAAACATCTTATCACCCTGATACACCCCGTCAACTAACTACACGAATACCACCTGGTGGTTCACACTTACACTCACTCACTCATTTGACCATAAACAGAAATATTAATCTCAATGTTAAAATAATGAATCCTGTGATACTCCAATACTGAAACTCTGTACTGTGCCAAAACAAAAGCATTCACATTGCTAAACTCACAAACTAGTATTTAGTCACTTAGCCATAATACCAACTTACCTCATAATTTGTAATATTTTACAATTAAGAATAAAACTAAGTATGCCCGAAATGCCTAGCCATGCTAAGCGTTCTAGTGGTACACTCTGTAATCACAATTTTACTACATGTAAACCACACAATAACCAAATTTCTGTAAACTCAGCATTGTAATCCTTATAGAGAATAAACTTTGAATTTGAATTTGAATTGAAAGGGAGAGAGGAACTGCCTTGATACTAGTTAAGGGCTTTTGACCTAAGAAAGTAGAGCAACTCTCCTGTACATCAGATCAAACCTGATTACCTCCCATTCCCCAGGCGCTGAGCCCTTACGTAGTTAGCGCTTCAGGATGAAAATAGAAAAAATAATAAGTTCAAGGCTTTTCCATGGTTGCACGAACAAGTAAATAAGACTGATGTTCTTTCCAGAAAAGAAATGTACATCAAGAATTTGAACAAGACGTTGAACTTAATTGAACTAAGCCACCAACACTCTACCTTGAGGGGCACCAGACCCATCTGTCAGACTAAGATTACTGCTCACCTAACTGCTGATGTTCTGGTCAGTTACCTGTGCTTGTAGCTCCTACTACTGCTGCACCGCTACTACCACAACTACTACCATTATTATTATTATTATTATTATTATTATTTATTATTATTATTATTATTATTACCACTACTACTACTACAAAGAAAAATAATAATATTATTATTTTTAACCACAGCGGCAGTCTCCAAGGTAGGGTGACTTATGAAGGAATCATTCACCATCATTCGTGCAATAGCTGTCTTACCAGAATTCTGTTAGCATCACAGTTCAGAGGAGCCTCCGAAGTGCAACATCCCCACCTCTCCTTCAGAGTGCAGGTACTAGACTTCCCACCTCCAGAACCCTAGTAGACTAACCAGCTTCCCTGAATCTCTACATAATTCTTACCTTACTCACACCCCGACAGCACGTTATATCATTGAAACTACTCGCCACTCCGAACTACGTTAACACACACACACACGGGGCCACGAGCTGTGAATCGACCCCTGCAACCACAAATAGGTGAGTACACACACGCGTAGTAGATCAATATATTGAATTATAAAAAGAGGTAGTAAGTGCTTCAACTACTGGATATTTTTTAAATTATATGAGGAACATTACGAGCAGAGTTCTGCTCCTCTAGCTACAAATAGGTAATTACACATAGGTAGTTAAGATAAGATTGCGTTCGGATTTTTAACCCCGGAGGGTTAGCCACCCAGGATAATCCAAGAAAGTCAGTGCGTCATCGAGGACTGACTAACTTATTTCCATTGGGGTCCTTAATCTTGTCCCCAGGATGCGACCCACACCAGCCGACTAACACCCATGTACCTATTTGCTGCTAGGTGAACAGGACAATAGGTGTGAGGAAACGTGTCGATATGTTTCCACCCGCCGGGAATCGAACCCGGGCCCTCCGTGTGTGAAGCGGGAACTTTAGCCACCAGGCCACCGGGCCACAGCCACCAGGCCACAGATGTAAACACCTGCTAATGCTCAATCCCCTAGCACTTAAAACAGCCTTCAACCCTCCAACCTTTCCTGGGACTACCCATACCTCTTCTGCCTTCCACACCTGATTTAATTTTATGATAATAATAATTAGTTGTAGCATCAGCAGCAGTGTAGTAGTAATAACTGTAGTAGTAGTAATAGTAGAAGTAGTATAATAGTTGTAATAGTAGTATTAATAGTGGTAGTAGTAGTTGTGGTATCATAATTACATTATTATTGTTATTTTAGCTATCGTTATTCCTATTTAAGGATGAACAAATTTCTGTTTAGAAGCTAAGCTTGTTTGGTTTATAATAAAATATATTCAATTTCATCATACAGTATTAGGCAAAAAGTTGGTTTAAACCTGTCGTTGGGAAGTTATTATTAGTGACCCATAGATTATCATATAGCTATTTAAACCTTAAAATGCATATTTTAAAATTTGGAAACTTCGAGAAATTCATTCGCCGGGCAAAAATATATTGAAAAAAAAAAAACAGGCTAAACACATTTGGATTAAATTATAGGTTGAGGGCTAAAATTTTGGGAGAAGCCTAATATTTACCCTGAAACTAAGGTTGATTTTGTAACCTAATGATGTTAGGTTGTAACTTGCAGCTGCTATATGGTAATGTATATTTATTTGACACTGGAGCACTCTCGATTATTACTGAGCTCCATATGTCTCCTAGTGAACTTTCCGTGTCACTTTCTGAGCTCCAGATACCTGGAATATACCTAGTGGAGCATTTTCTTATCACTGATCTCATACCAGCTGGAGCACTCCTCGCCTTTTTGAGTTCCAAAATACGTACTAGATGACTCTCTGGGCTGTATATCCCGCAGGCAAGAGTGTCGACGGCCTACCAGTCTCTGAGTACTGAGGGGCGGGTAGCAGCCGTGGCAACCACAGCCAAGTTGCTAGCACAGGCAGGGAAAGAACATCCTGCAGCCTCCAGCTGTGTTCAGGCACTCCAGCCACTGATCCTGAGTGACGCTGACGCCGAAGAGCTCATCCTCTCCCTCCCTCGCCTCTATAAACTCGGTAAGTGTTGATAATTCAGCGAGTGAATATTCTCCAAGACACCGTTTTGCACTCGAGCTCTCCCTCTTGACTCCTATATTTCTCCATAGTATACATCCTCTTCCAACGCGGTGTTGTATAACCCATGCTGGTTTAGCTCTTGTTTTATAATGAAGTGTACGCGATTTTGTGCTGGTGGGGTTGAGCTAGCAAATTAGCTACTCAGTTCGTAATTATCTGAAAATCGTTCATCCCTTCTCTTCAAGGGAGGGCTCTTGATCTAAGGAATTGGACCAAACTTTCATTTCCTTGGATCGAACCTGAATTCCTCCTATTATCTCCTGGACACTGTACGATCCCTACGGATTCAGCGCACTCCCATATATGAAATAACAATTTAAAAGAAAAGTCACTGGTTTGGCACTAGTGTTGTAGGTGAATGCAGTGATTTGTCAAGTATATTAATAAAGCGAGCTCTTTCGGAAGCTTTAAAAGTTAGACAAATATGAGTGGGAATAATTGAGGGCGAGTACGATCTACCTGAGCCAGTAGGCTTGATGTAGTTTAGCTAAGTAACTCATTACGATTATAAGATTTTAGATTTTGCCACTGAAGTGGCTAGTTTATTGTGCACCTCATATCCATCCTGTGGACGGTAGCGCAAGAGCATATGGATACACAAAAGGCCCAGGAACTAGGCCCCAAAAGGGTTAACAAGTATACATATGGGTTTATATCTACATATCTACAGTTCACTTATCTTTTACAAGCAAATTTAGGAAATTTGCATAGTATATCTGGTATCTTATTTTCATTAATAAGATATCTTGACATGTCACATAGGTTATTATACTGTCTATATATAAACTTTTAAATAGTTCATTATTACTGACTTGCTAAGCTAGCAAAACTCTGAGACCCGCTCCCTTGGACCGATTGTCTCTGTAATATTTGTACTAGTGCTTACACCATGGGTATGGGATGGATAACAAAGCTATCAAATTAAATTGAACTATTATACACCTGATACTTATCCTCTAGTGGTCCTCTGGCTTTGCATTCTGAAGAAAGGCTTGCTTTACTGGTACAGGAGATCGGTGTGTGGCTCTGGGAGTGGTACTAGCCGTGGACGCTGAGTATACATACACCAACCCGGCCATCAACTTGCTCACCCTCGCCATGATGAAGGTCTTCAACTGCTCCTCCACTCCCATTATTTGGAACACCTACCAGGGCTACCTCAAGGTGCGTATCATAGTTTTCTCAGCCTCTTTAAAAATCATATTATTTCACAAGTTTACTTAGAGCTTGAGCATCCAACAGGCGTGTGTGAATCTATTAAAGTGGAGTTTGTCGAAGTGGGATTTGACATGTTGTTGGTTAGTTTAATACAGAGGCGTCGTAAGGACGGGGGGCGGGCCGCCCCGGGTGACACCATTTAGGGAGTGACTCCATAGAGCCTCTAAAGAAGGTGACACTAATGCACAAAACAGTGCTGCACCAACATAAGAGAAGAATCCTTCGGAGAAGCAGCTTATAAACCGTATGGCAGGAGAGGTGTAGCAGTCATAGGTAGTGTCACATTTGTTCAATGTGGAAGTAGGTTGTGCCCAAGAATTAGGCAAGCGAAGAATTCCTAAGTATTAAGATCCTAAGAAGTTGCAGTGTCTGACAGGTTTATAAGCTGCTTCTCCGCTCATCTGCCGTATTCTACTCAAGATTGATGGACTGAACACATCGACTCAAGGTTGAGGGACTGATTACCTCATTCTCCTCCTGTTCTTCAAGTTTCTCCTATGTATGGACTGATGAAGCCACTGTGTGGCGAAACGTTTCCTCAATAAAGATACCCAAGAGTTGCACATGTGTCTAATTTATCAACATGTCGGTTCTGTGAACCATTCATCTACAAACCTGTCAGACACTGCAACTTCTTAGGATCTTAATACTTAGGAATTCTTCGCTTGCCTAATTCTTGGGTACAACCTACTTCCACATTGAACAAATGTGACACTACCTATGACTGCTATACCTCTCCTGCCATACGGTTTATAAGCTGCTTCTCCGCTCATCTGCCGTATTCTACTCAAGATTGATGGACTGAACACATCGACTCAAGGTTGAGGGACTGATTACCTCATTCTCCTCCTGTTCTTCAAGTTTCTCCTATGTATGGACTGATGAAGCCACTGTGTGGCGAAACGTTTCCTCAATAAAGATACCCAAGAGTTGCACATGTGTCTAATTTATCAACATGTCGGTTCTGTGAACCATTCATCTACATACAATAAGTGTCAGGGGCCCGAGACTGTTCAACTGCCTCCCAGCACACATAAGGGGGATTACCAACAGACCCCTGGCAGTCTTCAAGCTGGCACTGGACAAGCACCTAAAGTCAGTTCCTGATCAGCCGGGCTGTGGCTCGTACGTTGGTTTGCGTGCAGCCAGCAGCAACAGCCTGGTTGATCAGGCTCAGATCCACCAGGAGGCCTGGTCACAGACCGGGCCGCGGGGGCGTTGAACCCCGGAACTCTCCAGGTAAACTCCAGGTAACTCCTCACCCCTGCGCGTCTCCCCCGCCTCACCCACCCAACTCCCAGCACCACCCCATCTGTAGAGGGTACTTCTCCCCTAACCCACGATGTCAGCGATGGCACTGCAGAGAGTGCCGGGTTCACAGGAACTTCCACTACAGGGACAGCATTGTGGAGTTCGACCGCGAGGCAGCTGACAGGTGTGCCACAGGCAGTGTGTACTCAGTTCCTCAAGCTTCAATATCCGTGCACACGAGGGCCTGGGATCTTCAGTCAACTTGGCGTCCACCAGGACGCTGACATGTCCCTAGGACAGCTCTCCATCGGGCTGCTAACGGAGTCACTGGCTTCTTGGACCTCTTGGGGAGGGTCGATGGTGCTTGTGCAAGCAGCAGATCCCGGGGCAACTTGCTGCTGTTTGCAATGGCTGTCTGCCGAGGAGAGACAGGCACCTAGCAACATCTGTTGGGCAATGGATGAATTCCCTACTATGTTTGTTAACTGCTCATTACTCTGTAATTTGTCTATGATTGTAATCATGTCATAACGTGTTTATCATTCATTACCTTTGAAACTTGTCATGATTGTGACCAGCTCTACCTGGAACTCATTACCTTTGTAAATTCTCATGATTAATGTGTTTATGATTCATTACCTTTGCAATTATTCATGAGTGTGACCAGCTCAACCTGGAGCTCATTACCTTTGTAACTTGGTCATGATTATGACCAAATCTAGTTCATTACCTTTGTAACTTGTTCAGCTATCAAAACTTTGGAGTCCAGTCCCTGGACCAATTATGTACCTCTGTAATCTTTTGACTACCGCCCACGGGATGGGTATGGGATGCATAATAAACATATTAAACTAACTAAACTGCACCCCATACCCATCCTGTGGGCGGTAGTCAAAAGATTACAGAGGTACATAATGATTGCTGAACTAGTTACAAAGGTAATGAACTCCAGGTAGATCTGGTCACAATGGAGTTCATTACCTTTGTAACAAGTTCAGCTATCATAACTTTGGGGTCCAATCCCTGGACCCATTGTTATTGGAATGTAAATATGTTAACATCTATATATGTAGCTAGTATGTCTCCTCTCTACCTCTTATCAGTTAATAAGAACATTTTTTCAACCTGTCATCATAATTCACATTGCTCAACTCCGTCAGCCATTTTGTAGCTCTTCTTTGAACATTTTCAAACTTATGTGTTTTTTCAGGTGCTGGCACCACACAACCGATGTGTGTGTGTGTTTATTTACAGGTGTCCTCTTATCATGGTACTTTTCAGAGAGGTCGTGAGAACTTGGAACACGACCTTCATGTAGTCCAGGCCCTGGGGGCCGAAGTAGGCTTTGGTGCTAAGTTGGTCCGTGGAGCCTACCTGGAACGTGAGAGGTCACAGGCACAGCTCCAGGGCTACCCTGACCCCGTCAATGATACCTATGAGAACACCAACGCTATGTATGACAGGTCAGCCACCTGTGCTAATTGATTCAGACGTTTGAGAATTATATTATTCATGAGGAAACGGGTAGGGACAATCAGGTTTGATCCGTAGACTGGAAGGTTACCTAAATAATTCCTTGTTTCAAAAAGTGAGATGTTGCAGACTATTTGATCTCCCTTGTTGGTCCTTACACTCCATCTTCCGGATCATACCTTAGTGCCCTAACATTACTAAGAAATCAGGCTCATTGCTATGAAAATTTCCGCCGCTGTCTTTCTCTAAGAGCAAGTTGAGTAATGATTATTATTATTATTATGGGGGAGAGCTAAACCAGTAGGATTATACAGCGCATGTGGGGGGATGGAGGGTATTCAGGCTCAGTTCAGGGAACCGGAGCACAGATCCAATTCCCTAGACCAAGAGCCCCTCACAAAGGTCAGTGAACCTCCCTTGAGGGGAGTTGAGCAATAAGCAGCTATGGGAACAGCCAGCTGTGACCCAGCCATCATGATAAATACAAGTATGGGTTAGTCTCCTAGGCTGGGAAGCAGTGACCCACCTACCACCTGTAACCATTGCGAACCTTATTTCTTTTTTACCCAAGTCATTTTAAGTTTAATGTCTTTATTATGCACCCCATACCCATCCTGTCAGTTTAAGGCTGAGTTGTTTTACTTGGGCTCATTTCAAGGCTCAGCCCTAAGACTTATTATTATATTATTATTTAGGGAGAAGCTCTTAACCCATAGGGATCATACTGCAATTGGGGAATGGAAAGCAATCAGGTTCGATCCAAGGAAGGGAAGGACGAGTTCAATTCCTTGAATCAGGAGCCTCTCACCAGCAACAAGGAACCTCCCTTAAGGGGTATTATCGCCCGTCCCAAACAGCTTCAGCTCCAAGGTAGAAGCAAAGGGGGCAGAAGCCACCATAATAACCATTATCTCCCCAAATAAATAATAACGTAGCCTCTAGAAGTACCCCTAGCCTCCCTCTTGCAGCTGAATTGTCGCACCTAAATCCCTATATAGAAATTCTTGAGCTGCCCCTGACCTATTTCCCAGGATGCTACGTGAACAGCTAAAAGGTGTAAAAAGACCTGCAAGCGAGTCTCGACTCTCCCATCGTTGAACCAGTTCCTTTGAAAGTTAAGACACATGTGCAACATCTGGATATCTTTATTGTAGTAGACGTTTCGCCATCCAGTGGCTTTATCAATACAGATTCTAGGACATAATAGGAAGACAGTAGAACTATATACAAAAGATGAGGTAATCAGTCCCTCGGCCTTGGAGTTAGTGTTCACAGCATCGTGGTGGAGGAGAGTCTGGAGCAAAGGCAAGAAGACTGGCGCTTTTTATAGGCGTCAGTGAATGGGACGGGCAGCAGACGAGGGCAGTCACTGGTAGGCGGGATTCCCCAGTGGAAGTAGGTCCTTCCCAAAGAGATGGGTTAGTTGCAGCAGCCGTGAAGAAGGTCTTGTAGATGTCCTCTGAACCAAGATTCCATGATGTTGCAGTGTCTGACAAGTTGTTCTGAACACAAGGTGCTATTATGCGAGAAGGCATCAAATTATTATTGCACTTATGAATAAGTGATAAACTCATGGAGGTCACAGTGCCGGGGACAATGAGAGGAAATCAGGTTTAGTCTAATGATTATTATTATAATAATCATGGGATAGCGCTGAACCCGTAGGATTATACAGCGCATGTAGGGGAGGGGATGGAAGGTATTCAGACTCAGTTCAGGGAACCGGAGCACAGATCCAATTCCCTAGATCAAGAGCCCCTCACTGACCTCAGTGCAACTCCCTAAAGGGAAGTGGGTACAAAGCTTGCATTGAGATGAATTATAAAACTCCTTCAGTCTAGTCAGTGGATTATTATAATCATAACTAAGCACTAAAATCATAAGGGTAATACAGCTCTAGTCAGTGGAGATGCTGTTTTTCTTCTGCAGAACACTTGCAGTTTGCTTCGAGATGATCATTATATCCGCTCATCCACACACCACAGCGAACACGTCCCTTAAACGAAAGAGGGCAAAAAACTCTTTGTTACTGACCCTGTAGGGGTCATTCAGCATTTGGGGAAATGGGAGGCAATCAAGTTTGGTCCAAGGGAAGAGATCATGCCTATTTCCTTGGATCAAGAACCCTTTGCTGGCATCAAGGCACCTCCGAGGGAAAAATTATGGACTAAATGTAAGAAATATTAACGTCTGTATAACTGTTGCAGCATGGTGAAGGTGATGTTGCAGGAGGTTGCAAGGAAGCGAGATAGGAGAGCAGTGGTGGTTGCGACCCACAACGAGGCTTCAGTTAAGCATGCAGCTGCCACGATGGAACGACTGGGTATTGAACCCCTGGAGGGCAGTGTGGTGTTCGGCCAAGTATATGGCATGGCTGAGAACATCTCCGTGCCCCTAGGTCGGTACCAATATGTACGTTACTTGTTATACAATATGGTAACACTTTGGGGGTTAATGTTATAATTAACTGAAGCACTAAACTCGTAAGAGCCAGACAGCATCGCAGGGAGGGATATATAAAGGTTATTATCATTATTATTATAATCATAACCAAGCACTAAACCCGTAAGGGTCATGTAAAGGTTAGGAATGAGAAGGGTGTAAAATATAAATCCATTAAAATGTTATGCATCAAAAGTGGGACTTTCGGTGAGGAGGTTATTGGATTGTGTTGGAGTCATGAGATGACAGAAGGGAATCCTGCACACCCATTGAGAGGACATTCTAATATAATATGGTAGACTGATAGTGTGACCTGATAGCCCTTGCAGAGTGGTGCTGGGCATTTCTCCATGTGGTACCCGTGAGCAAATTGCATGTGTCCAATACATAAGCATGAGGGTGCAATCTCCTTAACCTGAAAGCTGTGGGAAGATGGATAGAATTCAGAATGTAGTTCGATAAAAAAAATTCTTGTGGTCCAACTTGAACTAATGTTTTTGCCAGCAGTTGTGGTGCTTGTGGCAAAGCACTGAAAAAAGGTCTGAGAAAGTACTCTTCCCCGTGGGAAACTGGAAGGTCAGGAATACCTGGCCAAATGACTAAATCTGCTTGTTCATTGCCCTGAACATCAGCATATCCAGGAACCCAACAAAAAAGACTATTTACTAGAATTGTGACATAACCAAAGATTTTTTTTTTTTTTCAACAAGTCGGTCGTCTCCCACCGAGGCAGGGTGACCCAAAAAAGAAAGAAAATCCCCAAAAAGAAAATACTTTCATCATTCAACACTTTCACCACACTCACACATTATCACTGCTTTTGCAGAGGTGCTCAGAATATAACAGTTTAGAAGCATATACGTATAAAGATACACAACATATCCCTCCAAACTGCCAAAGATATGTATAAAAAAATGGGGAGTTGAATTTCTGGAGAGCTTGTAATGCACTTTGGGACTCGGAAATAACTACATGTGACAAGGCAGACAGGGTCACAATGATAGTAGTAAGAATTACATATAACTACTGTGAAAACACTGGATGATTCTAGTAAATGACCTTGGATCATTCTTTCAGGAAAAACAGCTGCATGCCTGACATGGGGGGGATTGAGGACCATCAGTGTACAATGCAGTAGCATGAGAATGAGAATGGAAGTGTTTAAGAAAGCGTGAGCACAGAGTTATAGTAGAAAAATGAGTTTTTGCACATGGAAGCAGACATGAACAAACGTCCCAGGGAGGGAGGGAAAAACAAGATGTAGAGTGAACATAAAGGGGAGGTAAATCAAGGGAGGTCAGTAGAGAGCAAAGGGCATAATAAATAGGTGTGATGATTAAATAACCTTAAAAATATGTTACCATTCTGTATGTGGAAAGATTATATTGGTCATGGATTCAGGAAAAATAGTGGAGATAATGAACATAGATTCAACCTTACAAATTGAAGAGTTTGCCTGTATATAGGCTTGAAAAACACCGTGACACAAATGTAACCCTTTACGATATATTCTTTAAGAACTGCTGTATTTTTAATGCAGAACACAGACAGTAAGCAATGGCTAATAACCAACCAACTTAAACAGAGGGGCAATAAAACAGAAGATGAGTAGTCCGCTTACGTTTCAGTCTCAATTTGCTGAATATTACATTCATGAGGGGAGCACTAATCCTGAATGGATCATGCAGTACCTGAGGGAATGGGAAGCCATCAGATCAGTCTGGGGAAGGAGAGGTCAGGTTCAATTCCTTGGATTCAGAACCCTTCAACAGCATCAAGGAAGAGTTTTAGTGTGAAGGAAAAATGTACAGTATACAATAATCATATTTTTGTTTTCTTTTTTTGCCTCCATGCAAGTTCTTTGTAATACAAATGTTCATGATGAGTAGGAAATTTTTGTTAGTGTAATTAAATTTTCATTAATTCACCTCTGGAGAACTGTATTGGAGAAATAGGCTGCAACTTCTATAGGGAATTTGTTTTGATGTTGCTGTGTAATGGGTTCCAGCAATATTTCTTAAGTTGTAATAGCATTAGAGCTCCAGTGATGTTACCTCTGTGATTTTTAACCACATTTCTCCTGTAGCTGCATCAGGGTTCTTGGTGTACAAGTCGGTCCCATCTGGAAGTATGTTGGAGGTGATGCCATATTTATCAAGACGTGCTAATGAAAACAGGGCGGTGTTGCGTGGCGCAAGGAGGGAGCGACAACTTCTTTCTGAAGAACTTCTGTCAAGGCTTTCCTTCTTCCGTTGACATATAGGGTGAGGGGAGTGGTGAAGATAACATGAAGTGTGAGAGAAGTGGAATGATTTTTTATTTTAATCAGGGGGAGGCACTAAATGAATAATGGTCATACAGTGCAAGGAAAATGCGAGAATGAGATTCAAACAAGAGTTCCTCACTGGAATCGAGGAACCTTGCTAGAGGGACACACCTTTTTGTGAACCTCTGGATGGGTTATCTTATGACCTTGGTAACTATCATTCCATATTATTAATAACATTATTTTTCTATTAAAGTGATAAACCCTGTAGTTTTCTTCCCTCTCTATTCCTAAATTTGTAAATATCACGACAGTGAATCTATGTATTTATGGGTAATGCTAAATCACTAGGGTTCATACAGTGCCTAGAAAATGAGAAATGGAAAACAGTTAGGGTTGATTCAAGAAAGTGGATGGTAGCTGATGTTAAATCCCGATACTAAATTTTTTTTACAATACATATATGTGTTGCGGTTTTATTAGTGTAAATTTTTTTGCAATAAAAGATGCACTTATAATCTATATCTGTTCTTGTGACCTTGTGATATGAAAGAGATAAAAAAAGGGTACTGATACCACAGTTCAGATGCCCCCCTCGGTGAACTCTGATAAGGGAGATGTGTGTGTTTCCAAGATCAGATCTGGTTCTTCAGATCAAGAGGAACTGGACTTCCCTTCAAGGGTAAAATATTTAAAAAGTGTTGTGTTGCTGTAGCATTTAATCAGACTTATAGTGAGAAGCAGAGGCCTAGATAATGAAATATTGGAACAATTCTTGAGTGGGATAGACCAGTAATGCTGCAGAAGTCTACAGCATTATTACGAGCTGAAGTAGGCCTGCTGGTAAAAATGTTAAAACAAAAGAGGGGAGATGTTTGACAGGAAGGTGGTGTTGGTTGGGAAAACGAAGGGAATATTTTAAGGACCTTTTAAATGTTGAAAAGGAAAGGAAGAAATTTCATGAATTAGGTAGGGAGGAATGACATAAGACAGGAAGAGACAGATGCATGTATGGTGGTGTGTGTGTGAGACAGTGGACAGAATGAAAGAGGGTAAAGCAGCCAAGATATAAGGGATTAAGACAGAGATGTTAAATGCAATCGATAACATATCGCAGTTTTGGAATGGCTGGCAAGTTTTAATACATTCATGAACGAAGAAAAGGTACCTAGGGATTGGCAGAGAACATCCATAATTCCTTTATAAAAGAAAAAAAAGGACAATAGAAAGTGTTTGTATTATTGGGGGAATAAATAAAATGGGTAAAATGTATGAAAGAATTTTTATCAAAAAGAGTTAGGGACAAGACAATGTATAATTGCAGGGAAACAAAGATGATTTAAGGTTAGGGGATGTGAACAATACAGTGAAACCTCTACTTGCGAGTTTAATCTGTTCCATGACCTTGCTCGCAACTGGATTTGCTCGTTTGCAGAGTCAATTTTCCTCATTTAAATTAATTGAAATGCAATTAATCCGTTCCAGTAGAATTCCGTACTTCAATAATTTCGCTAATATCAACTCTACAGCTTATTTATCTATCTCATTTCATCTGACATAATAAACAATATAACTAACATAGAAACCTGATATATACTCTAAAATGAATAAAATATGCCATTCATGTAGTGGTATGGGTGGTGTCAGCGGTGGATGAGAGTTTATCTGGAGACCAGGCAAAATACTTCATGAATAATTTTGCTAATATCATCTATACGGCTTATTTATCTATGAAAGTTCATCTAATATGACATAACAAACAATATAAATAACAAAGAAACATGATACATACTCTAGAATGAATAAAATATACATTATTGTAGGTAGTAGGTTGGTAGACAGCAACCACCCAGGGAAGTACTACCGTCCTGCCAGATGACTGTGAAACAGAAACCTGTAACTGTTTTGCATGATGGTTGGATTGCTGGTTTCTTTTTCTGTCTCATAAACACGCTAGATAACAGGGATATCTTGCTACTCCTACTTACACTTTGGTCACACTTCACAGACATGCACATGCATATATATATATATACATACATCTAGGTTTTTCTCCTTTTTCTAAATAGCTCTTGTTCTTTATTTCTTCTATTGTCCATGGGGAAGTGGAAAAGAATCTTTCCTCTGTAAGCCATGCGTGTCGTATGAGGCGACTAAAATGCCGGGAGCAATGGGCTAGTAACCCCTTCTCCTGTAGACATTTACTAAAAAAGAGAAGAAGAAAAACTTTATAAAACTGGGATGCTTGAATGTGCGTGGATGTAGTGCGGATGACAAGAAACAGATGATTGCTGATGTTATGAATGAAAATAAGTTGGATGTCCTGGCCCTAAGCGAAACAAAGCTGAAGGGGGTATGGGAGTTTCGGTGGGGGGAAATAAATGGGATTAAATCTGGAGTATCTGAGAGAGTTAGAGCAAAGGAAGGGGTAGCAGTAATGTTGAATGATCAGTTATGGAAGGAGAAAAGAGAATATGAATGTGTAAATTCAAGAATTATGTGCATTAAAGTAAAGGTTGGATGCGAGAAGTGGGTCATAATAAGCGTGTATGCACCTGGAGAAGAGAGGAATGCAGAGGAGAGAGAGAGATTTTGGGAGATGTTAAGTGAATGTATAGGAGCCTTTGAACCAAGTGAGAGAGTAATTGTGGTAGGGGACCTGAATGCTAAAGTAGGAGAAACTTTTAGAGAGGGTGTGGTAGGTAAGTTTGGGGTGCCAGGTGTAAATGATAATGGGAGCCCTTTGATTGAACTTTGTATAGAAAGGGGTTTAGTTATAGGTAATACATATTTTAAGAAAAAGAGGATAAATAAGTATACAAGATATGATGTAGGGCGAAATGAACATAAGAAAGGAGGAACACTGCAGGAGGCCTGTTGGCCCATACTAGGCAGGTCCTTTACAATTCATCCCACTAACAAAACATTTGCCCAACCCAATTTTCAATGCCACCCAAGAAATAAGCCCTGATGTGAAAGTCCCACTCAAATCCAACCCCTCCCACTCATGTACTTATCCAACCTAAATTTGAAACTACCCGAAGTCCCAGCCTCAATAACCCAACTAGGTATACTGTTCCACTCATCAACTACCCTATTTCCAAACCAATACTTTCCTATGTCCTTTCTAAATCTAAACTTATCTAATTTAAATCCATTACTGCAGGTTCTCTCTTGGAGAGACAACCTCAAGACCTTATTAATATCCCCTTTATTAACCCTTTGACTGTTTCAGGCCCCTCTCTGAAACTGTCATTCTATGTCGCTCAATTTTTGAAAAAAAAAAAAATTATTTTTTCTTATGAAATGATAGAGAATCTTTTCCCGATGGTAATGACACCAAAAGTTCGAAATTTGGTCGAAAACTCGTGGAATTATGCTCCCGCGAAGTTAGCGGTCTCGGCGACATGTGCGTATCGGCGATTTCGCCGACTTTGAGCCCAATTTTCAGCCAATTCCATTGTTCCAGTTGACCAAACTCATAGCTATTTCTTTAGAACTCCATTTTATCTATCAGCTGAGCACAAGAAACCTCCCATTTACTAACTTGGACTACCCAATATGGTGGTCAGAAATTGGCAATTTGGCCAATTTCACGCAAAATAAAAAAGATGCCAATTTCAAAATAGGGTCCAGAATAAACAAGGTAGACATTCGTGGCACTAAAATAACATATGCTCTGTTCATTAGTCACATCTCTAGGCCCCTCTTATATTATTATTGCTTTCTATTTTGATTTTTTATTCATACAAAAAAATACAAAATTTACTGTTATGCAGACGACTGCATTATTGTAAAAATGGTATAAATAATATCAGTGCACTAGTGAAAGAATATTAGACTCCCCAGTTGACGTGTATTGGACGTGTGGTGTGATTTATTTACTCTTGAACATTGGTAAAAATCGAACATTTCCGCTACTTTGAGCTCAGTTTCAAGGTCATTTTCATCGTAAAAGTAATGAAAATCATCTCTATTTCTGTAATATGTTTTCCATTTTATCAACTAAGACCATGAAAACGCGAATACAACGATAAATACTATACGAAAATACACCTCAAAGTCGGCGTTTTATTCCAAAAAAACGATCAGAGTTTTTTTTTTTCTCATTACGCAATGTGTGCTGCAGGATTTTTTTTATGTGGTGCACACTGACCACACAGACCCATTCTCTCACATGTGGGCCTACCAGCTTTCTCCCACTTGATTTGAAGCCGCTAGAATTATTGAGTATATATACGTCAGAAACATTGGCTCGTAAGACGTATTTATACGTCGAAAACAGTCAAAGGGTTAATACTACCTATCTTCCACTTATACACTTCGATCAGGTCTCCCCTCATTCTTCGTCTAACAAGTGAATGTAACTTAAGAGTCTTCAATCTTTCTTCATAAGGAAGATTTCTAATGCTGTGTATTAATTTAGTCATCCTACGCTGAATGTTTTCTAACGAATTTATGTCCATTCTGTAATATGGAGACCAGAACTGAGCTGCATAATCTAGGTGAGGCCTTACTAATGATGTATAAAGCTGCAGTATGACCTCTGGACTTCTGTTGCTTACACTTCTTGATATAAATCCCAGTAATCTATTTGCCTTATTACGTACGCTTAGGCATTGCTGTCTTGGTTTAAGGTTGCTGTTCACCATAACCCCCAAGTCCTTTTCGCAATCTGTATGGCTAAGTTCTACATCATTTAACTTATAAGTACTAGGGTTATGGGCACTCCCAAGCTTCAGAACCTTGCATTTATCTACATTGAACTGCATCTGCCACTTTTCTGACCAAGAATAGAGTTTGTTTAAATCCTCCTGAAGTTCCATAACATCTACGTTTGAATCAATTATCCTACCTATCTTTGTGTCATTGGCGAATTTGCTCATATCACTAGTAATTCCCTCATCAAGATCACTGATATATATTATAAACAACAATGGGCCCAAGACTGATCCCTGTGGAACGCCACTTGTTACAGATCCCCACTCGGATTTAACCCCATTTATGGACACTCTCTGCTTCCTGTCAGTGAGCCATGACTCGATCCACGAGAGCACTTTTCCCCCAAAGCCATGAGCTGCCACTTTCTTTAACAGTCTATGGTGCGGAACTCTATCAAAAGCCTTACTAAAATCTAAGTAAATAATATCAAATTCTTTATCGTGGTCAACAGCCTCAAAAGCTTTACTGAAGAAAGTTAATAAATTAGTTAGACAAGACCGGCCTCTTGTGAATCCATGCTGAGTATCATTAATCAAGCTATGCTTATCGAGATGGCTTCTTATAATCTCAGCTACAATTGACTCTAGTAATTTGCCTACAATTGAGGTCAGGCTTACTGGGCAGTAATTTGACGGTAACGACTTGTCCCCTGTTTTAAAAATAGGAATTACATTAGCCATCTTCCACATATCAGACACTACACCTGTTTGAAGAGATAAATTAAAAATATTAGTTAATGGTTCACAGAGTTCCATCAGGACCCGGCGACTTATTTTGCTTCAGTCTGTCTATCTGC